AACTCTAACTTTTTTGTTATTATTATTACATAATTCTGTGTACGAAAATAAAAGTTACGTGGAGTTACGTGTTTGGTGAAAAATTGGTTGATAAGCCTGATAAGCCGAAAAAAGTGTTACCAAACGGCCTCGTAGTCTTGTTCGGATGAAGTGTTGGGGTTGATTGAATTGTTAATCACTTGATTTGAAATTTTAAAAAATTTAGATTTCCAATTCAAAAAAAAAAGGATGACACCCCATCCTCGAGGGCTCCCCAACCCCGACCGGACGGTACGTTGGGAGGATGTAAGTTGGACTATAATCCCAATCTGACAGATAGAGAGTGGGGCTCTGTCCCCGGTACTTGCAAAGGCCCTATGCATTTTTTAGCATAGTAACCCCTCATCGCAGTTGACGGGATTCGAACTCGGGACCGAACCCTTGTGTCACTCCCTTCCTACCAGTTGAGCTACGCCCACCGGTCTAGATTTCCAATTCAATACTTTAATTTATCTCAAATTTAAATCATTTTTACCCTGTAATTTAACCTTTTCAATCCAGTACTTTAAATTTATCTCAAATTTATTCAACGCTTTTCTCGCTTTTTAATATGCTCTTAATTGATAAATTAACTAGTATGAGTGTATGGCAGTTCAAAATTCATACCCATAATGACATATAAAAAATACTATCCTCCGTATCACATTAATTGCAATATTGGAATATATACACTATTCATGTATTTTACTTTAACTACATTTTATTTATTAATGTATGTGATTTATTATTTTTGAAAAATATTGTTAAATACGTCTCATTATTAAGTTTTATAATCCGATTTTTATTTTATTTTTACTAATACAGAATTAAATATAATGACGGTCAAAGTTATGTGTTGGGAAATGTGAAATGTTGATTGTTGCAACTAAAAAGAGACGGAGGAAGTATCTAGAATGAATTAATTTTGATCCAAATGTTCTTCCAACTTTGTTACACAAATACAAAAATCCTAAGAGTGTGTTTGGGAGTTGGGTTTTGGAGGGGAGGAGAAGGTTAATGAGGTTTATGACCCTCATTTTCATGTTTGGTAGTTTAAAAAATTGGAGGGGTGGTTTCGGATCGGAAGGCTTTTGTAACCCTTCAAAACCCTCCAAATGCTTAATTTTTAAATTCTCCCAATTTGGAAGGTTTTGGAGGATAATTAACAAGATGTGATTTAAGCTAAATTAGAAACGAATATCAGCTCAATGATTTGAATTCGTCATATCTCAAAGTGATTTTAATTATAATTCCTTCAAAACTCCTCTTCTTCCAATTTTATTATTCCCAAATACAAAGAAGAGCTTCCTCACCCTCCCCTCCCTTTCCCCTCCAACAACATACCTCCAAAGCCTACCCCTCCCTTCCCTCCAAACTCACAAACATACCCTAAGAGTTACCCTTGATCATTCACTTCACCGCACACACTACACCACACCATGACTCAACACCTCATCCCACCTTTGAAGTAGGGCGGACCAAGGATTTCAATGTCGGAGGGGGTGGGGGATTTTAAAAAATACTCCATATAATATACCTATAGTTGCTTTAAAAAGTAAAATACAAAAATAAATGTTACAAGTGTTTACAGTATTATATAAGAGTATATCCAAGCCAAGTATAAAAAACACTCACTAAAAAAACTAGACTATAATTGAAAGATCCTCACATATCACAAGTACATTAGATACAATAGAACTAAGATAAAATTTAGAGATGAAGAACAGGAGTTAGAGCACTCCGGGAGCTTTTTAAAACCCATACCTCCCATGTTTTTTGGCCAACACATAAATCCGAGTTCCTCCATCTGATCCCTTTCCCATACTTCCCCAGCCACCAATACTCATTCATAAGCGTTTCGATTTCCCTACACGACTCCTTATGCATAAGGATTATAAGAGATGATGTGAGGTTTTTATTGCAGGTGCTTCGAAGGCTTGGACGAGAGTGCTTTCCACACTAGAAGCTGAACCGATAGCGATGTGTGAGGCATTCGTCCGAGGCTGTTTTGAAGATTCTGAAGGAGTCGAGTGTTTCATCGGCAGGGATTATTGGCGGTGATATTAGAGAGATTAAATCTTGTTTTACTGATATCTCTTTTTTCTATGTTAAGCAATCAGCGAACAAGGCGACACATGAATTGGCTAAAGTCGCATGTTCTCTGTCTGATTGTATTGTTGGAGTGAATTTCCTACTAATTTTGTTTCTCATGTACTAAATGTTGATTCTATGAATGAAATTAAAGTTAATTATTTCCTTTTCAAAAAAAAACTATTGTTAACGTGAAAGCTGAAAACTATATGTGTGTGTAGTATTCCTGTCCGGCCACCTCATTTTGAGGTGGTTCCCGGTGGTATTTTTTGTTGAAATTTTAAGCATGTTCCCCATGGAGTATAAATTATGCCCACCAAATTTGAGCAGAAAAATCAATCGAGAAGGAAGTCAAATAATTTTTGAAGATATTGTGCCAAAATATACATGTAAAATGCAGTTATTTTCCAAAAATCATTTGAGTACCTTTCCGATTGAATTTTTTGCTCAAATTTGGTGGACATCATCTACGCTTCATAGGGAAAATTGTTCAAAAAAATTGAGCAAAAATACAACCAGGAAACACTTCAAACCGAGGTGGCCAAACCACTCTCCTGTCCGGCCTGGCCAAACATGAATATTTGTGTGCATGTGCGTGTGCGTGTGCGTGTGTGTGTATAGTGGCTTTCCTGTCAGAACAGCCTAACTGGAACCATCGTCTGGTCAATCTCGTTTGAGGGGCTTCCAGGTTCAATTTTTTGATGAAGTTTTGTGAACATGTTTAAGTGTAGATTATCTCAACATAATTTCAACTTAAAATTCGATCGAGAAGTCAGTTAAATAAATTATTTAAAACAATTACACTTTATATATATAAATATATATAAATACACACACTATGGATGACATAATTGTTTCCATTAATTTATTGCTGACTTTTTTCGGTCTTAAATTTTCCTGATTTTTTTTAATCAAATAACATATTCATCAATAATCACTCTTAAGCAAGTTCACAATACAATCAGGTGGTGAATTGAACCAAGTAAAATCAGATTGTAAAACCGCTTGCCTTGCCAAGACATGAGCAATCCGATTCGCTAATCTGTGCATGTATTGGTCACTTATCCTAGCAAAACTTTTCTCAAATCTTTATATATTATAAAGTAACAGTGTTTGGGCAACGATTAGAGAGAAAAATCCCGCCCAAATTAGGGTCACAATAGACAATTAATGTAGAATTGTCATATAAAAGGAAAACTCCACGTATGCTCTTATCAATATAGTACATGCATGTCTAGAAATTTTCTTCATTAACTTTTGATAATTCTTACCAAATTAATGACCATCCAATTAATATGTTTGTTACTACGTAGTATATTTAGCCATTTTTACTTTTTTAGCACGTGGCCATTTTAAAAGTAATGTATTTACTTTTAGGAGTTTTTTATCTTAACTAGACGAAGTACCCGTGCGATGCACGGGGTATATCTAGAGTGGAGTAATAACCTATTTGACATAACATTCTATTACAAAGTGTAACGGTACCTACTATTTCCACTATTATACCTGTGCGATGCACGGGGTATATCTTGAGTGGATTAAAACATGTTTTTTTTCTCAAAACATGTTCTAATCTCTATATTAGTGGAAATAGACAAATAGTAGGTACCGTTACACTCTGTAATAGAATGTTATGTCAAATAGGTTATAACTCCACTCTAGATATACCCCGTGCATCGCACGTAGGCGTGGAGTCGGGCCGGGTCAGGCCGCCGGTTCGTATCACATGGGCCCGAGACCGGCCCGAGGGTTGGACGGGCCCGGTTCGGGCCGGGCCACCCCCCGGGTCACGGGTCGGGCCACCCGCCGGGCCGGGGCGGGTCGGTTAATTTTTTTTTTAATTTATATTTTATACTTTATAGTTTTATACAAGTATTAAAAAACAAACTTCAAGTGCATTTATTTGAAATGAAATAGGAACTACATTTGAAAATTAAAACAAACTTCAAGAGACAAACATTTTGTAAATTGTAATCAATCGGAACTTCCCGTACCTCCCGATCCTTTGGCTTTGTCAATGACTTCATATGCTTCATTGTCATCCCGTATCCGCCTGAAACCCCCATGCTACATTTTTTCCCGCACCATTTACAAGTTGCGTACCACATCCCGTTCTTCGGGTCCTTCTGTTTATCAAAATTATACCGTATAACGGCATCTTGATTTTCCATCTTAAGTATAAAGTAGATATATAAATAATAAATTAGTAGAGAATAGAGATTAGAGAGTAGGAATATTTGGAGAAGATGTGTAGTAAATTGTATAGAAAAAATGGAGTATTTATAGTTTTTTTGTACCCCCACCCCCCACCCCCCTAACCCACCCCTGGACCCCAGGAAGGCTCCCAACGACTATATAGCCGTTTGGGTTCAATCACAACGGCTCTAAGGGCTTGTTTGTTAGCCAAAAGTTTTTTTTTAAAATTATAGCCGTTGGCACGAACCGGGCCCGAACCGGCCGGGCCGGGCCTTCCTTTTTGTGAACCGTGCCCGAACCGCTAGCCTCCCCCGGGCCGGGTAAAAGGCCGCACCGCCCATTCCGTAACCGGGCCGGGCCGGGCCCGCACAGTGGCTGGCCGGGCCGGTTCAGGGCCTGACCGACCCGGTTTGGTCCATCCTTAATCGCACGGGTACTTAGTCTAGTCTTTAAATAAATTTTGAGTTTAGTAAAAACCCGATATAAACCGGATCAATCGGAGTATCGGACTCCTACAAAATATCACTGTTTGAGTCAAAAGCCTTCATTCTCACCGTATGGCCCAGTTAGATTCAAGAACGACGATGATGAAAAATAGTTCGTTGAAAAGTCAGAAGCGAAAGAACAATTTTTTACTGACAAAGGGGCCCAACATAAAACTTCTGGCTCAGAGAGAGTGTCTGTCCAATTCTGAACACCACTGTCCTCTTCCACTCTAATCCACACACTTCTGCCTTTCCGCCCCTATTATTTTTATTATTTCTAAAATAAGCAGGGTTAGAAGAAGTTTCCAGTGTCAAAATCAGTCATAGAATCTTTATTTCCGCACGCGATTTTCAGATTATATATTTCAATCCCAATCCCGTCCCGCCCCTGTATACTTTCTGCAATCCGTTCAGTTCACAGCACTTAGATGCTGTGATGATAATTGAAACGGTTCATGCTATCTGATTCCAGTGAAGAACATCAAGTAAGCTTCTTCAAGAATGTTTTATTTTATCCCTGCGCGGAACCCTAATTCGAAAGCTTTGCTCTTTTAAGTTTGAAAATTCAGGTTCGGAATTGAACCCATGCGGATTACAGCTTAACTTCCGATCGATTGATTCTTTGGAACTTTTGCTTTGTGACTAAGACATTACCATGTTGAATCCTTAATCCACTAGCTAATTATATTTGCTGTGTGTATATGTGCTGATCAAATGTTATTTGGGTTTAAGATTTTTCTGCGATGATGCCCTGCTGTCTGAACTCAGTTAGGATTAGTTAATTAAACTGATGATTGTTATGTGTTTCTCTCTGTTTCCAGGTCTGAAATTCAATTTGAGGTTTTTTATTTGGAAAAAGCGAGCATGATGGCATCATCCTCTGGCCATGACCTTTCAGGTTTATATATGGCATAATAGAGATGCGGACTATGGCTATGTGTATATTAAGATGATATATTGTTGCTATAGATGCTCTTTCTACTGAGATTGTACCGAATAATATGAATTACATGACTATCCATCCTCCATGGCAGCAGATATCCAGATTGAAGTTTCCAATGTCCAGAAGACAAATTGTATTTCTATGCTGATAAAATACCTCTTCAGAAGGAGGATGCAACCATAGTTTAGTTGTCATGGCGTTTGGTGACATGCATGGTGCCAAGGAATATGTTCATGGCTATGTCGCATTTATGTCATTGCCACATGAGTGACATGACACAAAAAATAAATATGGAGTACTAAAACTATGAACTATAGATACTTTAAATTTGTAATTCAACCACTAAAAAGTGGAGTTGAATAACTCACATTCTAACCAAAACATCTGAAGTTAAATTCATTTAAAGTAATTTAAAAATAAATTAATATCCAAAGATAACCACATCCTACGATTAATGTTTTATATAGCGAGTCAGTATACTTAAAGGGCATGCAGATGCATAGTGTTCTTAAGGCTGTTTTAAAGTTCATTTTGAAGTTTATATAGAAGTCAAAACTAAAATTTGTTTTGAAGTTTATCTTCTTTTATGAAGCTTAGTTTTATACTTGCGCAGCTTCTTTGGCTTTGGTTTTACGTTAGCTGGTCTCTATTTACTTGGGTGATTAGGGTTTGTATATAATGAGTGGGTAACTGGTAAATTATTAATCAGGGCCAAAGCCCTAAATTAGTCAAGCGAACATGTTAAAATATGCTCCCAAAAAATTGTGCACATGGGCACATGGCGCGGCGATGCAGCTCATATAGCGCTGCCTTGCCAGGCCTCTTTGTTGTGGCGAAGGCTTTTCAAATTGCCATATGGTGCATTATAGCACATTCCGTTTGTGCCACTAACAACTACGGATGCAACAATTCATGTTCTTAAGTGAACTCTTTAACCCATTTAAAATTTCAATTAAGTATTGACGTTAATATTTGTGGGCTGGTTATATGTTTGGCCAAGTTTGCCTTTCACAGAGTTTTTTTAGATAGACTATGTGCCCATTTGGTGATTTTTTAAGTGGCTGCTTTGGCTGAATTAATTGTGTTTGGTGATTTATTTGGCTGCAAGCCTGCAATGAACGATTCAGTGTGTAATTACCTAAAAGCATAAGGAAAAATGCAATAACTTTTTTATTTGGGGTAATACAAAAAAAGGAGGATGTAATTGTCATTTGATAGTTAAAAGGAGATTTGGCCAAAATAGGGACAACAAGCTGATTCTTTCTAGCTGAAAAGCCATATAAACCTAATCTTGGGACCTTTGGGGCTTTTTGGAAATCCTTTAAGGCATATTGGCCCATTTGGGCATACCTAAATGAGGCTTTAGTCTAGCACATTTTCAATAGACTAAGCCACTAGGAACAAATCCTGTATTTAATATACATAATTATTTCACGTAACAATTTGGCCCATGGCAAAGTATTGGTACCTTATGTCTTGATCTATGGTTGACGTTGTAGAGTTCATCTTCTTAAGAAATTTTCAGCATAGCATAATACGTAAGTTACTTCTTGAAGTTGTTAGACTTAGCCCACTGTTCTTACTCTTAATTAAGAGCTTCGAAGCATGGAATCTTTTGGGAAAGAGTACGTTTCCATTTCAAAAACTTTACGGATGCTCTTTGGAAACATTCCAAACAAAAGTTTTTCTATTAAATGATGGTGTTTCCCATTTCACATTTCTCCATGATTCCCATGTTTCCGTGCAACATAGATTAAGAGATCTCTTTAATCTATTTTAAATTCCAAGCCATCTATCTTTTGATTTAACATCATTAATATTGTCGAAGGATTCTACAGAGTAACCATTCCCCACAATTATGTCCCTTTAAATATTTGTTTGTCTGCGCATATTATTATGTACTAGTGTACTACATACAAAGTTTCTACTGATTGTTATTGTTTAAGAGCGTGATTTTTCAAAAATCGATTCAGATGTTGAAATTAGTACTTATTAGGTCTGATCTTTTTCTTAATGAGGGTCGGATGCTATATTATGCTGTTATTTCATATTTTATCTCCCTTTCAAATGAAATTTACTTGAATGTGTTTCTAACTGATGTTTGTTTGATGGGGTTTTAGATAATAGTGAGACTGAAAAGCAACAAAGTCCATCGGAGCTTGACATTCAGTCTTCATCACATATGATGCCTCATCCTGGAATCATTCCTCCGACAATGCATTATGCAATGCCTCCACATGACGGAAATGGAAATGCTATGGTATGGTGTTGTATTATAAGAACCAAGTAACATAGTCTTTTTTATAAACATATTTCTGATATAACATTGTTATTTGTAATGGCATTCCCATTAAGCCTCTAGATGTTGTTCCTAGGTGGCTGGTTTTTTTAATTTACTAATAGGCCAAATATAGAAACAAATCACTAGAACGTTATTGTTCTGATTGCCTATTGGGAAATAGAAATTCAGTAATAAAGATTTAATGGTGTTGCAAAAATTGGTCTAGGCCGATGTGCAAAGTAGACAGCTAGGCTTATTTATTACCAAGCATACTAGCCTGACCAAATCGATGACCTATGAAACTGGGAACGTACGTGACTGCATGGTTTGAGTAAAAAAATTCCCTTGTTATTTCTGCTCAAAACAGCATCGTATTAGTCATTTACTTTAAATAAAAATGAAACATACCCTAGTTTTCTGTAAAGCTAAGGTCTCGTCTACTCGCATCTCTAATTCTATGAATTGACGAAGTTTAAAATCCTCAGAACCCAGACCCAACCATGGATCACCTGTTACAAAATATGAGTGAACTACATAAGATTTGAAGTTGGTTATGTTGAGTTTCAGATCAATGTATGGTGGAAATGTGGAACAATATAAAAATCTACTGTAGGTTGTTGCGTACTATGTTTAGAGAATAATGTTTACAGCATTATTTAAAGAAAAACTTCCAGACTTGCTATTTATTTTTGAAGGTTTCTTTAACAAAAGATGTCTGATTCAGGCATACGAATTTACTTGTAATTTCTTCCCAATAATAGATGCAGCAATGAAATTGTTGAATTTAAAATGATAATGAGAAGAGTACAATGATCTAATTATTAATTATTAGACTGTTCTGGACTCTATAGCTATTCCGCATGATATAATAGAACCATATATACATTTTCACTGTAAAATGATTTGGTTGAACTGCTGCTCTAATCATTGTCCTAAACCGCACCGCTTATGTTAGTGCCCTGGTTTTTAAAGCAATGCCATAACAATTTCTTCTGATATGGAACACTGCCAGAATGCGATAATTTTGTCTACTCTAGTCCAAATTCTTTTATGTTCTCTCCGCTTTCATATATTCAAAATGTGAACTATAAGTCTAGTTTTGACTTTTTAGACTATCTGTTTTAAGAACTGGCTAAGAAAGTTAATCTGTTTTCCATCTAAGATGTGACACATAGATCTTGTTGATTACCATGTATGTTAATTGCACTTCAGTAGAGGTAGAAAGGGCAAAACTAATGTGGAGTCTTTTTGTATATATTATATGGTGCAGGCACAGACGGGGTATCCCTTTCCAGACCCGTATTACAGAAGCATCTTTGCACCTTATGATACACAGCCTTATGCTGCACAACCTTATCCAGCTCAGCCAATGGTATTATTGTAAATAACTGACATTGTCATTTTGGGTAACATGATGGTTCAAAGAAAGCATCACATAGTTTTTTTGCAAATGTATCTCAAGCGTTGATAATGTCATAATTGACAGTATCCGCTTAACATAGGAGTAAACCAAGAGTTACAATTCATAACGTTATTGAAGCGGCTTCCCATACCATACCATAGGCTGCAGAATTTGCATATCATAATGAACATAAAATTAAGAGAAAATTTGAGTTCGGATCATACAATTAATATTTGCATCTGCTCTTAGAAAAGACTGTTAGTCGGGTTTAAAAACAGGACACTGATTCCCATTTAGCTTTTTGACCTACTTGGTACCAATATTTTCTCCGATTTATCAAATTGGTACCTAGCTTCAGTTTGTATAATTGTATCTTTCTGGTACTAATACTTCAGTAGAATGCATCATATTGGTACCAATTCATTGATTTGTACGGAGTATCTAAGTGGTACGAAACTTATCATATAATTTATATTTTTGTTTCAAAATGATATGAAGAAAAGCCTTGTATGAAGCGTTTATGGAAATATCATGAACTTTGCAGAAAAGCAATCCTTAAAACAACAGATATACCTATGTGTACTAACCAATGTTTTTGTAAATCTGGCATAATTTAAAGAAATATTGTTAGCTCGTTTGTACGTATGTGTTATTAATTTATAGAAATATTGACAGGTATTTTAGAACATTTATTTTTGGACATTTTAAACACTGGTTAACATTATCAACTCTTAGTTTCAGTGTTTGAGTTACCTGTCCATGGATAAGTTAACGGTTTTGACATTAAATTGAGGTTTGTGGTATTCTTTCTTATTACATATCCTGGATATTCAGAATTTAGAAAAATCAGTAACGGTATTTTTATTTGAAAAACAAAATTTCAGTTTATCTGGGAAATCAATCAAAGATCCTGTACTTTTTCATAAATGTATAATATACTCAACAAATATATAAACAATATTCGTTATATTTATTAAAATATGAAAATATTTATTATGCATAGTAATAACTGAGTCCTGTGAATAGTTTTGTACCAATTAGATATGCATTAAAGATTTATACCAATATGATTCATTCCTAAAAAGTATTGGTACCAAAAAGATAATAATTAAAGAATTGGTACCAATTTGATATGAACCCCAATGTATTTGTATACCAAATAGATCAAAACCCTTTCCAATTGGGAACAATCTTTTGGGGTGCAATCTAAAATGATGTTAACAGAATAGCACCTATTGACAGTCTTTCCTAAAATTAATGGATTAATACTTGAAAAATAGTGCTATTAAAGTAAATATCATACAAAATAGATCAAACGATGTCCCGAAGAGATTAAGGAGATAACTTAAAATGCATTTAAAATGTCCATCTGATCCCAATTAAGCATCCCATAGTGAGTTATTGCAGTAGCAGTAGTTAACTATACAGTGTCTTATCTCAGGTTCATCTTCAATTGATGGGTGCGACACCACAAGCAGCTGCTGGGGTTCCTTTGCCTTCTGATGCAGCGCTTGAAGAACCTGTCTTTGTTAATGCAAAACAATACCATGGCATCTTAAGGCGTCGACAGTCTCGTGCCAAAGCTGATTCTGTAAATAAACTTCTCAAGCCTAGGAAGGTAGTATATTTTTCCACACCTTTTCCATGACAGCATGACTTTTCCTATTAGTTTGGGCTATATGTTAGTATTGTCACTTTTTAATACTCCCTTCGTCCCACTGAACTTTGCCAACTTTCCTTTTTTGTTTGTCCCAAAAAACTTTGCCACTTTCCTTTCAAAGCAATGTTTTTGTGGCTCTGTTCATTTCTCTTCTCTGCACAAACCTCAACCACACAAATTTTACTATTCTAATTTCACACCTAACATCAACTTGGCAAAGTTGAGTGGGACGGAGGTAATAGAATTTTTGCATATATTTTAGATTTCTTAGTTTTCGTATATTAGAAGTATATAAATAAGGTGATTTTGAACAAATAGTAACATCGGTTTGTTGAACTTGAACTATTTTTTTGCCCCAAGTTTTGTTTTCTTCTGATTTCTCCTCTATATATTTCTCTCTTGTTTTCTTTCCTTAGTATTTTCCTAATAGACCGTTAGAGCATTGATGCTCTTAACTTTTTGTGTATTCATATGAAGAATATTTCAATGCTGTGCAGCCCTACTTGCATGAATCCCGACATCAGCATGCACTAAGAAGAGCTAGGGGATGCGGGGGCCGGTTTACTTCAAAGAAAAATAACAACCAGCAGGAAAATGGGGATGAATTAGGAGATGCTGGTGGTAAATCACTGCCGCCCAATGTCAACCTCAATTCTGAAAGTCGTGATATTGCATCAGGACATGCATCTTGATTCTATACTTATATCAGATATTTCAACCTGCTAAATATGATTAGACTTTTGTTTCTAAGATAGAAGAGAACTTTATATCAGTATGTAAAAAATCAGAAATAGGCTTTTAGGACACCAAGAGTGGAAGATGAGTGGTTTTTAAACTGCATGGGCATGTACTATTAAAATGCAATAGAGTTTTCTTGAATAGTGATGTTTTGCAAATTGATGGAGTGGTCTCTTTAACACTTTCTTCTGTACATTATTATTTCGTTTTCCCTTGGTTTTAGAGAAATTTTAGTGAATGGTTGGCTTGCTGGAACTGCTTAGATGGACAGTGGGTAGGACAAACATTCATTCTCATGATGATACTCTTCGATTGTTCGAACATGTACGTCGTGAAGTAAACGGCATTGATCCAAAAGCTTCATAACTAAAGTAATACTTGGGAATTTGGAAGGGATAGAGTGGCATTTGGTGATGTCTTTGGAATGGCATTTTGCATTTGTGATTATCATCACTGCAGAGTCCAAATTGATTGGAAATGGTGTTTGACCAAAGTGTATAAAGACTATAAACAATGGCTATGAGAAATGTAAGGAGTAGCCGAGTTGGTGCTAAATAAATTGCTAAGAGAACAGATGACAGTTTTCTGTATTATATTGCTTGATAAATTTATAAATTACAAGTTTGTCAAAAAATTATAGCACGACAATTGACAAATACCAAATAAGTAAAATACTCTAAAACAAGATATTCCCCAAATCTGTGTTTGTCACTTCTCGGTGGAGCTTACCACCAGGCGGTAAACAATTTCAGGAGTGAGGGGTTTTGTGAAGCACTGGTTGAGCCCAGCCCCCATAAATGCAACCATGTCTGGACCGGGTCCGAGCGAAGTCACGCCCACTATCATGCTCTTCACACCCATTTCCCGCAGCTCTCGTGTAGCCTTCAAAAAATATGATTTTTTTTAGATATATGTAGTATAGAATAAGATCAATTTTTTTGAGATATTAATATTAAATACGACTAATAATGAATTGAATAAAAGAAAGGGAAATAAAGTGAGTAACTAACATGGACACCATCTTTAACCGGCATTTCTTTGTCCATCAGAACAAGATCAAATTGAGCACCGGAGCGGTGGAGCACGACGGCTTCCTCCCCGTTCTTGACCACCTGAGTTTTGAGACCGCATCTGTCCAAGAGCACCTTGTGGATCCTCTGAGCAACTGGGTCATCGTCTACTACAAGTGCAGACAACCCATTTCCAACGTTTTTGGAACCCATTTCCCAACTCTGATTTGATCCTAAAACATACCATATGAAGCGTAAATGCCGTTCTTTTCATACAACAATCAAAATAAAATAAAATGCAAACAAATAACAGAATTGACATGGATTGACGATGATTTCGTGTCAAATAGCTCCTGACAAAAATTTGTTGGCACATATTTGGCGTATCCATGCCAAATCCTTTATGAATTTTGACGAATCCATGTAAAAAAGTCCTTGTCAATCCCGTTCTTTTTCGAAATGACGTTATTATACTGCCTCGGTTTTAATAATTCGCTTTGGCCATTTTTATGTCATTTTTTTATGATTAAACATAATCGAACGTAAGGACTATGCTATAATCTGCCTGGTTTGATATATAAATAAGCATTTTTCTAGATATGCTTATTGTTTCCATATATTCATATACTTCTTCCGTTGTTGCAGTCCAACATATCTCAAATTACATTTTGAAAAACAGCTTTAAATTATGTAATGAATAATTTACTCGTAATATATTAGTGAATAGTGATCACAAAGTGATGTTCAAAGAATAAAAGCTTTCAGGGATTGCTAACCTATAGAAAAACGAAATTATATGATTGATTTTACATGGAAAAGTGAGATATACATCATTATTGACTTTATAAACATCAGAACATATAAAACAGAAATAATATATTTTCCATAGGAAAGAATGAGATCATGTGTACCTTTCCTGGTGAAATGAACTTATTTAATACTTTACAAATTAGATTAGATTGGTGAAATGGTCGCAGGCTTAAATAGACTGGAGAAATGGTGGGTATGGTCCACAAATTAGATATAGTTATAATAGCTGGAAAATCCAGTTTTGTTTAAAGATCGAGTCACCAAGAAAATGCATGGATAAAAGGGTAGCAGATATTTGCTGAAAAAATGCAGACATTAGGAGAAAATCGAATCTTGTTTTGATATTAAGAGAATCCCCAAGCCCGACCATGCCATCAAGATTTGACTATATTTGTGCTTCTATTATTCCTATCAACATTCAACATGTGTGATCTCAGCCTTTTATGACCAGTCTAATGATAGGATTTTCAATATCCAAGGATTAATAAAGAATGAGGGTTTTTCAAAAATATTATGAAAATAAAATTTATTTATACAAATATGACTAATGGTTACTACAATGTAGTTATATAGTGTTATGATAACTAAAGTTTAAAAATTGAACATAACTTACTATAATCATTACTTTAGCCACTAATCACATTTTTGTAAACAATCCATATTATATATATATATATATATATAATTATTTCAAGAATTGGTTTTCTAATTTATTTTCATTTTTCAGTACAAAAAATTGGTCCCGTTTTTTCAAATAGATGGGATATTTATTTAAACAATACTCTGCATGCCTACGTTTTTTGTGTCTATATGACTTGTATCTATGTGACTTGGATCACTTTTACATCAAAAGTCATTACAATAGCCACATCACATGTTTTTAAGTTTTTTTTGTAAGTTTGTTTGTACTTTTAACGTTTTTCATTATTATCCATAGTGAAACATAACATTATCTTTTCAGTTTTCAAAATGTCATCAAAAATAGCTTCTGGTCGGCGAATTCATTCTTGGTTCACCGTCTTTCATACTATCAGCCGTTTGAGGCGAGCGCCGCGATCTCTCCCTAGCAGGTCTAGGGTTTAATTTTTCCTTAACAGATCTAAGGTTTGGTTCTTCCGGCCGGTGAATCCTCTTCACTTGTGTCCGATGCTGGGATTGGATTTGAGACAGATTTACAAGAATCCTTACCCAAGCTTGACGACATCGAAGCAAGAGTTCAACGATCAATTTCTTCGTGAGCAGGGTAGCAAGGGCATGGCAACGATGAAGATGATCGCTAGCGGTGGATTTGCTACGAGCGCGAGACTAGGAGAGGTGCATGGATTTCGAGCAGGCCAGATGACGATTGACAATAGAGGATCAATTAGAGTGGTACCAAAGATACGACCTCCTCCTGAACCACCGCCATGGTTTGTACGAGGTGCTAGAGTTCGTGGAAGTTTTCTTATTAGTTATTTTTATTCAGTCATTTGGCTTCTTGTTATCGTCTATGTTGTTAGGTTTGTCAGTTTGTTTGGTAATTCAGCCTTTTTTATGTCATTGAGTATGTTTGGATCTATGGGAACAGGGATGACTGTGTCAAGCTCGCTACATGGTTAGCGATTTGTGTTGCTCTTTCAGGGGTGACCGTCTCTAAGTCTGATCATAGGGTTTACAGTCGTAGTTATTGGATTTTAGTTGGTTTCAGTTTTGATTTTCCTTTGATTGATGTAATGATACTGAAACTTATGATATGAAAGAAGGCTAGTTATCGATAAAAGAAAAGTTTCTTCACAAAAAAATGTCATCCCTCAATTATCTAAGATACTGTAAATGTCACTCATGTGAAACTAATGTAAACCATCTGAGTATTTTTTTTTCTTTTTTTTTAAACATCTGAGTATAGATTGTGTTAATTGTGACTAGGGGTGAGCATATTCCGGTCCGGACCAAAAAACCAAACCGAACCGGACCAGTTGATTCAGATCGGAACCAAACCGGTTACACACCAGTCCAATCTTCGCTCCAAGCTTTTTGAAGTTTCTGATTCTGGTTCATTTCGGTCCGGTCCAAAACCAGAAATATTTAGGCTCAGTCCGATTGGACCGTAATTAATTAATTATTATGTTTTAAATATATATTTTAATCTAAAATGTATTATTATGGAACATATAATAAGAACTAATTTAGATTTAGTTTTATTTGAATATTTGTTCAAGAAAGATTTATGTTTAAATAAATTAATAATTAATTATCACAGCCCGGATCGCGTCTGTGCCATGTGGCAAACCGCCTACAACCCAATAGGAACAATTGTAGTTCATGCCTATTGAATTACACATGGCGTCCACGATTGTCCAAACCGATTAGTAAACATATACAATCAACATCGATATCATAATCAAACGAAATACGAAAATAATAATAGGTTTGATCTTTAGCTACAGCCTACAAGTGGCAAACATGAACACGCAGGCTCCCAAATGTTTCATAGAAAACAATGTCAAAATATCCATGAGCAAAATGCTAATTTCAAACAGGAATGAGAAGCACGAACCACGTTTTCCTTATTTGACAATCACTCTGTGCAAAGGTGCTGGTAGCACGACCATAGCCTTAACCTGCAAATAGTGATGCCCCTGAAGGGGTTAGTACTCCACATAAAGTAGTATTGGTGAAAAGCAGGCTAAATGAGAAATAACTAACGTTTCAGACGTGAGACCCAACAATAGGGTCATACATATATTTATAGTTGTAACTACTGTTACCCATCCACAAGATGATACATACCGTATATACTTGTAAAATATTTCAACCCGTAGGTCATTTTCATTTAGAAACCTTTTTAGAGAATTAAGTTTTTACCCAACCTATCCCACAATTTCTCACGAATGCCTAGCTCACCAGTTGTCTCATATATTCGAGTAGCCTATGAGTGTTTAATGGATCATTTACCGTCCGGGGTCACTCTCCCCATCCTTGTGTGTTATTGGATCAATTACCGTTCGGGGTCACTCTCCCTTACCTGAAGTGTTACTAGGTCATTTACCACTCAAAGTTACTTTCCCCTACCTAAAGTGCTATTGGGTCATTTACCACCCGGGGCCACTTCCCCCTTCCTTACTCTACCAGAATCCTAACCCGGATATGGTTACCTTTTCATCCGTGCAAATATGGACAATACCTAACCATATAATCATATATTAAACCTTAGTAACTATCGTGAACGGGTCCCACCTGAACAACCCATGTTAAATACTCAAAACTGCTCCATAGAGTGTTTGATAGTCTTCGACTTGGCGGTCAACGCCCGTTTGACCGCCTAAACTAAGTTCGATTGCCATGAAATTTCATACACATATACATCTCAGCGTCCTCAATCCAAAAATACATTTCTAGATCCCTGGAACGTCATACCTGCAATGCCCCTCTCATGGTTAGAGGAAACGTTACACTAGCATACTACTTTTAAAAATAAACTCCAATATAACGACCATTTGTTTAAGAAATAACCCTGATAAATTCTCAAAAGTGACTGAAATATAATTCCAAATAAAAACTTAATAAAGGGGGGGTGTTTGGAGCTGATTTTGCTTCTGCTTCTTTTTTAAAGTAGAAACAGAATCAGAATCAGTTTTGAGAAGCTGATCTCCCACAGCTTCTAAAACAAACTGCTTCTAGGAGTAAATACGAGCATCAAACGCACTTCTGCACTTTCATCCAAACACTCCAATTTCTGCTCCTGCTCCGTGAAGGAGCAAACACAATTTTAAAAATCGGATCAAAACACCCCAAAATCTTATTATCACCAACAAATGTGATAACCACCTGTATCCAGGAATTTACTCAAACTCCAAACAATCAAAATAAATACTCCAAATCAATTTAAATAATAACAATCACTCTACTATAATAAATGAAATGCTTAAATAAAATAATATGTAGAGGTCACTAAGGTCTTCCTTGGCATTGACCTTGCCCTTAATATTTGTACATTCGAAGGAAGAAAACTAATAAACTTTAAGCTTAGTAAGTCACTATGGATCCACAAAAATATCTGAGAAATCTATGTTAATTTATCATAAATTAGACTATAAGCATGCACTTAACAAATAACTCACAAATAACTTCTCAAATAGATCCCGGAAGGGATCTCAAAAGAAAATACTTTTTTGTAATTTCTCAAAAGAAAAAAGGGTCAATAAGCTCTTCTACTATTTCAAATCCGTCACTTAAACCCCATGTACCCAAAAAAGTATCATATGAGTACATCGACTTTTAAAATACAATCAATCAAGTCATTTGGCTTGCTATAGCAGGTTTTTTTTAAAATTAAATTAGGAATATTGATAAATCTTACAAAAAATCATATAAATTTGAATAAATAGTATGATATTAATGTAAAAAATAGTATAAATGTAAAAATAGATAAAATTTAAAAACTTTAAAATAAAAAAATTAAAAATAATCATAAAACTGAAAAAATAAAGTGGAAATATAAAATAAAAAATAAAAATATTTAAAAACATTTTAATTAGATGTAGAATATACAAATATTTTTGAAAATAAAAAAAATGTTGACTTTGATATTCTGAAAATTTTCACAATTTTTGTATACATTTCTTCAAATTTTAACAATTTTTTAGAGTTTTTAAATATAAAAACCTGCTATTACATGTCAAAAACAAATTAAATGGTCAAATTGATCAATTTTGTAAAGTAGGCGTATTAATATGATATTTTTTGTAGTACAAGGCCAGGCTTAAGTGATGGATTGAAAATAGTAGAAGGACCTATTTGATCCTTTTTCCTTTCTCAAAATAAATTGCTTAAGAGATCTTGAAACTTCTTGCTAAAAAAATTCTGAAATAACTTCTGAAGATATCTCAAAATGTTTTATCCAACACTACTGTAAAACTTTCTGAAATGGATCTCATAAACTTTCTGTGAAACTTTTTGAAAGAGATCTCAATAACTTTCTATAAAACTCTTTATGGCTAATTTTAACCGAGCTAGTGATTTGTACTCAATGGCGCCAATCCGAAAACTCAAGGGAGTGACCCATGTACTAAACATATGAGACTCTCTAAAACTGATAACTGATAACTCTGTGTGAACTTGTTCTCGAGTACATATCACCTAATCTTTCACTTTATATATTGATTCTTTTTATGGTGACGTTTGATTAAAAACATCGTTAAAATCTTAAAATAAAAGCACTGAAATAATTAGTCAAATAATAAACATAACTTAATACAACAAATAAGATTCACTAAATATCTTAAACTGACAAAACTACATTATCATAACTATGCCAAATAACATGTGTATCTCATGCTCAACAAATAAGGCAGTTAGGCAACTAATCATGTATTTTCACAAACGTTTCAAGTTATGAAATAATTCCACATAAAACACCTTACGATTACAAATAAAGCATCATAGTCTAAAATTATCTATTTTAAAGTCAACCAGACTTCTTTCTTTTGGTTGAACAA